TTTTTCAACCGAAATCCATTAAAATGTCCATAGTAAACCGAGTAAATGTGATATATTAGTTAATTAGTTTAGTTGCGGGTATATGAAATCTTTTAAAATATTTCGGAGCTCGAATGCTGATGTAGAGGACCGATTTGAAACTGTGTTGGAAATGCTTTGAAGGGAATTTCGATCATCGTGATTTCTATGATTACTAAATTTGAGTTGGAAATATTAGAGGCCGCCGTGGCACTTCCAAGAAGGTTACATGTTTACGCGTCGTATACCTGGAACCATTTTAAGGTAAACTTAACTCGCTTAAAAAACAACGAGCTATAACAAAATAGGCACAGAAATAAAATCTAACATTATTAAATTATTTTTCTTATTTGCATAAAAGCGCGGGGTGAAACCCGCGGGTATAAGCTAGTATATATATAATTGTGAATATTATATTAGAATAAGGTGTACACTTACATTTGACACTGACTGTATGTACATATATTCTAAATGAAAATTATTAGAAATAAATAAATAAACATAAATTGCAATCAATATCATTTTGAGTTTTCGGTTCTAAATCTTTCACCATTGCTGTATGTACATAAATATATGTATTATTTTTTAAAAAGGTTGTATTTAAACAAGGCACAGGACTAAAATTTATAAAATACAAAAAAAGACGAACAGAATTTTTATAGCAACTTTAGTATTTTCGAACTCCAAGAAATCAAAGCGATTAAATATCCAAGTACAGTTTTTTATCAACTAGAAATTAAATAACAAAGTTGTTTATAATTTAATTTAATGTATGTACAAATTTTTTTTTTTTTAAGTTCTTTTTGAATCTCTTATTAAAATCATACAGTGGGAAGCAAACCTGAGTGCATGGTGATTTTTATTAAATATTGGCAAGGCTTTTAAAGTAAAATTTTCCTTCAAACTGTATTTTCTTTTTTTTAATTTCTTAAATCACTAAGTTTTTCTTATTATCACTATTTTTTTGTCCAGTCTTTTTGCGTTGTTTGATCTTGCCAGGTTGTTGCAATTTTTCGAATATCACCGCCAAGAGGAAACCATGTAATTACAATATCTGAATGTTGATAAATAAAACTTTATTTTGTGAATAGTGTGCAGATTTCTATCAGTGATTTCATACCTTTACGCATGCTGCTATCTTGTCTCCATTTTTCAACCGAAATCCATTAAAATGTCCATAGTAAACCGAGTAAATGTGATATATTAGTTAATTAGTTTAGTTGCGGGTATATGAAATCTTTTAAAATATTTCGGAGCTCGAATGCTGATGTAGAGGACCGATTTGAAACTGTGTTGGAAATGCTTTGAAGGGAATTTCGATCATCGTGATTTCTATGATTACTAAATTTGAGTTGGAAATATTAGAGGCCGCCGTGGCACTTCCAAGAAGGTTACATGTTTACGCGTCGTATACCTGGAACCATTTTAAGGTAAACTTAACTCGCTTAAAAAACAACGAGCTATAAC